ACACACACACACACACACACACACACACACACAATTGAAAGACAAACATTTTGAGCTTAGTACACTCAAACAGGTGGCCGACGATATGAGTGACTGTCTGTCTAAATTACTCGTTCAAATCAGGCACAATGGGAAGGGGAATTTTGCAGACCCAGACATCTGTGGGGATTGTGGGTAAGTGGACCAGTTTGATCATTTAGGCGGCGCCCAGAAGCGAAGTCACCATCAAAAAGAAGAAGAAGAAACACAACTTTAGCTAGTCCACCTTTTGTAACGTACTTGACTTAGTGAGCACACCCAAATCTTCACTCTCCGTACAGCCACATTTGGGTCGCCGTTTTTTGAAATAGTTTTTGTAAGAGTTTTACGGCACTTGCAGCACAATAAGGTCATATAAGTGCCAAAGATTAGAGGTGTTACAAGCGATTAACAAACACAAAAAAGGAGAAGAGATAATAAGGACGATAGATGTTTGATAGGAGAGAAGGAGAAGACCTCAGCAAAGCACCCACTGGGTCGCCGTGAAGTCATTTGCGTAGACACTTTTAGTATAGATCTAATATATTATTAATAATAGGTGGTTGAAAATTACTTTCACGTCATTGCCTATCTGCCTGCTTAGTAATGTACATCTATGTTCCTCATGAGGGTGGCATAGAAGAACGAGTCTTTGTCTCTACACTTACTGGGTTATCCGTTGAGTCGTTCATTGTCCGTATATATCTGTACGTTTGTATGTCTCTCAAAATATCTTTCCGTTCGAGAAAAAAAGATAAAAAGATGAATGCGCAGAGAAGATACAGTAAATTTAATTTTATATTCGTTTATTATGTGCGTGTGTTTAAATATTATGTCCACACTGGAGTGTTTATCCAGCTATTAAAGTTTCTAATGAAATTCTTAGAAAGTTGAATGTGTGGTTTTTCGTGTTTGATAAACAACTTTGTCTATTTACTTCCCAAGAAAATACCAGAACACTTTAGCTGATTGACACCTAATGGAGAAACTATTTCAAACTTCCGTTGAATTCTACCTATGCGTTATAAACTAGGGTAACCAAGTTTTTAAAAAGTGCCAATATTATTTTTGTATTCGGAGACATCCGCAGTTCACATGGCTGTCTTTTCTACCTCACCCCCACCCCAGTCACTCTCTTTCTCTCTCTCTCTCTCTCTCTCTCTCTCTCTCTTTCTCGTTCTCTCTTCC